CATTAATGTGTACAGTTATTACATGTTAATAAATTTTAGAAGAAAATAAATAAATAAATAAGTAGTTAGCACACATGTATTGAGCACTTATAAATGCCAACCAGTTTGCTGGGAAGTTTCATATACTTTATTCTATTCTTTTTAAATAAACTTTCTTATTGAGGTATAATATTCAGATCATAAGTGTAAAACTTGATGAATTATCATAAAGTAGACTCTCCCAAATCAAGAAGCAGAACATTAACTAATCCCCTAGAAGTCCCTGTCTGGCCACCCTCTACCCCTCTCTCCTCCCTAGTGGTAACCACTATCCTGACCTCTAATACCACGGGTTAGTGTTTTCTCTTTGAACTTTATGGAAAGGCAGCCATTCAGAACGAAGGCTTGTGTGTCTGGCTTTACGTGTTCAGCACTGTGCCGTGTTCCTTCTATGTCTGGCATGTGCCTTTCATTCCTTTATTTTCATTGCTCATTATTTGAATATAGCACAACTTACAGTTCATTTCCAGTTATTGGACCTTTGTATTGTCTTCTTTTGGGGGCTCTTATAAACCATGCTGCTGTATTTTGGAACACGTCTTGTGACACATTCCTGTTGGCTTATAACCTGAGGTGGGACTAGTCACAGGGGTTGCATATGTTCAGTTGTAGTAGATATGGCCCTGTGATTCTCCAAGGTAATATAATAATAAGATATTATTATATTAATGTATGCTCCTAGTAACAGAATGAGAGTTCAGTTGCTCTGTATCAATGCACACACTTGATGTTATCACTTTTTAATTTCAGACATTTGGCAAATATGAGTTTCTGATTATGATTTAATTTGCATTTACTTGATATCTAATGAGGTTGAACACCTTTTTACTGGCTTTTTCAAAAAATATTTATTTAGTTTTAGTTTGACCCAATACCTTTATTTTATTCACTTATTTTTATGTGGTGCTGAGGATCGAACTCAGGGCCCCGAGCATGCTAGGCAAATGCTCTACCACTGAGCCACAATCCCAGCCCCTTTACTGGCTTTTTGATATTCTATTTTATCTCTTTTAGGTTTTTTTTTTTAGAAATTAGGTTGCCTTTTACTAAAATTTAAAAACTATTCTGAATACTAGCTCTATTTAAAAAAAAAAATCTTCGCAATAGCCCCGTGAGTTAGACGACATTTTACATAGGCAGATACTGAGCTCAGAGAAGTTAAGTAACTTGCTCAGGGACATTGGGGTATTGAAGTTATCCTTTTTTTCCAGTGGCTTACAACCTATTTAGTTAGGGAAATAACATTCAGATAACAATTAGTAAGTAACATTAGCCAGTATTATTAATCTGGGTGGCACAGGTTATGAATGGCATGATAGTTAAAGGATCAGAGTAAGCTTCCTAGTAGAGTCAGGACTTAGTTAGGACAGGTGTGACTGCGGAAGTAGAAAGGAGTGGAAAAGCATTTCAGGGGTGTGAGCCACAGAGCAGAGGCATGCAGATGGGAGTAATAATAGTACTAACTTCTGAATAGCCCTCTGCAGGAATTTCCAGTTGTCTTATGTACCTCATGAGGGTGGGAACCCTGACTATTCCATTCACAGTGTCCACCATAGTGTCTGGAACATAGCTAGTGCCTAATAAATATGTTGAAATAAGTGAATGGATTCAATCTCAACTATCTTCCTGTCGACTTAGCAGGATAAGATTTAAATGATCAAGATGAGGGTTAAAGACAATTAGAAGATCCACCTGAGACCCTCAGAAAGAGCTCTATAGAAATTAATAGTAAATTGCAATTAGAGAGAGAGAGATTATAGGGAGTTCAGTCAGTTTAGACTGGAAGTGGTGCATGGGAAAGCAGAAGCTTTGAAGGCTCTTGAACAGAGGAAGATGAAGAGATCAAAACAAGGTTCTCCCAATTCAAGAGTGGTTGAATGCAGAAGGGACGGAGAAGGGGGCCAGATGAGAGGATGTTGGAGTGATATAGGCATTGGTTTGCTTACCCAATAAACATTTATTAAAATCACAGTACCCATCTAAAGTTAGATTTTATGCTAATGAAGGATATCGAGATGTGTAAGTTGTGAATCTTGCCATCAGGAGTCTGTATCTGAGAGGAGAACTAAGGAGAGCTCACAAATGATTATAATTCAATAAAGAGAATAAAAAAGTCACAAGTAAAAAGTCCAGATTTCAGGAGGGTAAGGTCTGTTCTGCTGGGGGCATCAGGAAGGGTTATTGCAGGATTCTAGAGTAGTGCTTCTACCTGCCTCTACCTCCCCACTCCCTGGTCTCCTCTCTGTCATGTTACTTTACTTAGTGATCGGGCATCCTCTTGTCTATTTCTTGCTCTTTGTCTCTCTCTTCCTTTAGAGAATGAAGGCTCCAAGATGAAGAATACTTGTTTGTTCTGGTTGCTGTCTTATCACTAATGCTGTGCTCACTACCAGGTTTTTCAATACACATTTTTAAATGAATGAATGAATAAAGTGTCACTGGAGTTTGATACCATAGGGTGGGCAGGATTTGGACATTCATTAAAAGTGGAGCGAGAGGCAGCTGGTTGTTGCTCGGTGTTAGTGCTTGTCTAGTACATATGAGGCACTGGGTTTAATCCTCAGCACCACATAAAAATAAATAAATAAAATAAAGTTTTTTTTTTTTTTTTAAAGTGGAGGGAGAGACATTTTAGGTGGAGGGTATATGAAGTCCTATAAGGAGTAGAGAATAAAAGATGCATTTGGACAGTGGATTTAAGGAAAACTATTGAGATACTATGGTGGATTAGACATGAAGAACAAAAGAGAGGTAGCAAATGACAATTCCAAAGTTCGTGTCTTTGAAGCCTGATGGAGATTGAGCGAGTGAATGATAAAAGAAGGGAAGTTGAGAGGACAAGCCATTTTATCAGGCAGTGGTTGAAAACCTCAAGGGTGACATCTGTGAGCATTTGTAGAGACTGGGTTGAGGTGCATAGTCAGGTCTGAACATGGTGAGTTGAGATTCACTAGTTTGGAAGAGATACTAGTAATTTGAACCAAGGATGGGTGCTCAAAGGGAGAAAGCCCAGAAAAAGGAGAACCCTTGGGAACAGGGGGCACTGGGCAAGATGGATTAGCAAGGGAGATGGGGCAAGACTTGCAAAAGGGCATTTCAGGAGAGATGGTCAGTCAGATGTCAAAAATAGGTCCCCAAATATGGAAGTCAAGGTTATTAGGTTTGATAGAGGGGACAATGTCACCTTCAATAAAAAGATTTTTATAGGATTGTGGCAAAAATTACATATTATATGTGTATATGATATAATGAATATTCCTGGTACCAGCCAACATACATATTTGGTAATGATATATATTATATATATAAAATATTCCTCTTTTAACTAAATAACATCTTACCTCATAGTTTCCAGTGGTTTTTGTCATTTCACAATGTCTGGGAACAATAAATAGCCATTTTCATAATGCTGGGCATTTATGTTATTTTTGGTTTTTGCTCTTTTTGATATGCTCTGACTATGCTATGCTATGACTTTGTGGATGAAACTAATATGCCTCCCTGATTATTTTCTTATAATTCTATCTGAAAATCATTTTCCATTTTTTTAATGCAACATATAGTTTGTTGTTGCTATTTCTGATCATTGTCTCCAAGGCAAGAAGGAAAATAAAGAAAAAAAATGAGCCAACAAAAGAAATTGATCAGCATTGATAATATTAAATTGAGGGGCTGGGGATGTGGCTCAGGCGGTAGCGCGCTCGCCTGGCATGCATGCGGCCCGGGTTTGATCCTCAGCACCACATACAAAGAAAGATGTTGTGTCCGCCGATAACTAAAAAATAAATATTAAAATTCTCTCTCTCTCTAAAAAAAAATCACTGAGTTGTCAGGTTTTTAAAAAAAGATAATATTAAATTGATCATATTATTTTGATGCCTTACTGGAAAATTGCACTAATTTATACTCCTATCTATGGTCTTTGAGGGTTCTTGTTTCCTCACACTGTTGACTTCATTGCATGGCTATTAAAAACAAAACAAAACAAAACAAAACACAAAACTTGTACTAATTTGTCATTTGCATTTCTTTGAAGACTGGCAAAGATTTCATGTATGTTACTATGACTAGCACCTGAGATAAATTAACTTATAAAGAGGAAAGATTTATTTGGACTCACTGTTTTGGGAGTTTCTGTCTATGATGGTTTGGAATCATTGCTTTTGGGCCCGCGGCAAGGCAGCACCCTGTGGCAGGAATGCATGGCAGGGCAATGTGCTCATCTCATGGCATCCAGGCAACAGAGGAAGGAAGAGGAAGAGACAAGAATCCCATAATTTCCTTCAAGGACATGACCCCAGTGACCTAGGACCTTCCACTAGGCCACAGCTTTTCAATGTTCCACCACCTCCCCAGACTGAGGACCAAGTCTTCAACACGTGGAGCTTTGGGGGACATTTCAGATCCACACTGTAGCAACATGCTTATCGGCCATCAGGCTAACTTCCATTGTGAATTCATTATTGATAAACTTTGTCATTTTTGGATGCAGATACACATTGCCAACTTGCTTGCCAAATGGCTGATTGATTTATGTTGCAGGATACATTTTGTGTTTTGTGAATTGTCTCCTGTCTCTTGCTCATTTAAGATAACATTTGTCAGATAAGGATGTTCATCTATGTTTCAAGGTGGAATAAAAAGAGCTAAAAATGTTGCAGGAAGAGGGTATATACTTGGGTTTTGAGTTTTGGAAGAGGTGTAAATTGAAGTGGAACAGTATTGAGCATCAAGGACAGGATGACGAGGGAGGGTGCCTATTGGGCTGCTTTTTGGCTTCAGAAAACATTATATGATAACTACCTCTAAGCTTGGAGAGCATTATCTTTTAATTACAGTCTTTTGAAAAAACATAAATAGCTAAGATTGTGTGTGTGTTTGTTGTTGCTATTTCTGATCATTGTCTCCAAGGCAAGAAGGAAAATAAAGAAAAAAAATGAGCCAACAAAAGAAATTGATCAGCAGGTTATTTAATTATCAATTTTAATTCAGTAGCCCCAGTAAACCATAGGGGTAAAAGTTTAGTAGACTCATTGGGTGATTGGCTCTAAGAACTTCTTGTGGAATCAAGCGTGCCTTAGATCTGTGTACTCTTTCTTTTTCTCTCATATTTATTCAGATTGAATATTTGAAGCAGAAGCTATGAAAGGGTTATATAAGGAGTGGCATCTAATGAAAGTATGTTGGATGAATAAATCCATGCACAGATTTAGCTCTACCTAAATAAAAATAAATAAATAAATTTCTTTAATCAGGTGCTATAAAATTATAATTACTTTAAGTCATGGTCATATCTGAAGTGACTTTGAGGAACAAAATTTCAGGATAGACTTGAAATTCCTCTAGGAAATGTCACAAAGCAGAATGATCTATGAATTAATATTTTATGATAAGATAGTATTACAAAGCTTCATAACTTTCTACTGCTATGTTTTTAAAAGCCAATGAATGAGTTGAAGTAGTGGCACCCACTAAAGATGTGGAAAGAATTTTCCTATTTGTAGTGACAGATAAATGATGATGAATTTTGTCATGAGAAAGTTCATTTGGACACTTGGGAGTAGTGAGGTATGGTAGAATTTTTACAGATTATTATTTGTTTGATCAGGTGTTTCTTTGGTGGTGATTCCCATGGCTCATGACTTTGTTATTTGCTCTTTTAGAAAATTAAGAAGAGAATTTAAAGAATCATTAATCTGCATCTGAATGTATGCATGTGAGTATTGAGGGGGATCCGGAGGGAAGAAGTCTAGGGCACGCTGAGGTGTGTGAAGCTCTTTTTAACTTCTGTGATGGGGACTCATTGCTCCGTAGTGTTCGCCTCCACCTGTGGTACTGGGTCCTCTCTCTGACGGTGACCCTATTTATCTTCCAGGGTTTGGGGTGCTGATGTTTGCTGTGGATCGGCAGGATCCTCACCAGGCAGAAGTTCCCTGGTGGACGGCTGTGACGCGTGGCTGCCGGTGAGGCATGACCTGGACTGACTGCTGCAAAGCTCCGGCCCTGATGCTCTGACTACCTGAGCTGCATTTTGATTCTCCTCTTGATTTATGTTCGTTTGCTTCCACATCTTCTCTTGCAGGTAGTGGTAGAGTGTGCTGGATTGGACGGCACCTCTCTGCACAGAGTAGGGCTCCTGGTCTCTCTGCCTCCTTTCTTCAAAGCCTGACTCAGTCTTGGCTGGGCTTGGTTGGTCATCACCTTCTCCTTCCTGCTTTTGAGGACTTCCATCCTCTTCCTCCAGTGTCGCATGCTCCCCTGCTTCAAGGTGTGTCTCAGGGGAGACGGGGTCATCCTCATCCTGACTTTTTAGTAGGCTCTCGTGGGCCTCTGGGGCTCCACCTTTCTCTTCTTTGGTCTTCGGGTCCTGGACCTTTACCCCTTTTCTGCTGTTTTCGTTTTTAGGGAGCTGCATTACAGAAATCTGGTCAGTGAGATCTGCCTCCTGGAACTTTCTGTCTTCACCCCCTGCTGTGGTCTCCTGTGCCTCTGGGGGTCCCTGGCGCTCCACAGCCACACCTGGGTCCTTTGTCCCTGAGCCTTGACTCTTGTGCTCCCCCCGGGCAGGCTGTCCGTGCTCCTCTGGGAGCTGACCATCCCCTCCTCTGACTGACAGCACCGCTGCCTCCCGCACTCCGTGGTCACCTGGTGGTCCCTGCTTCTGGGGATCTGGGTTATCCCCGTGAGCTCCCGGCGCGGACCCGCGGTGTGGGTCCACGTGACCCTGGGAACGCCCGCGCACGCGCAGTTCCCTCCTCTCTGAGCTGAGGTTCCCTTCTTGAGGAGCCAGGGCGTCGGGGGTCTCACAGGACCCCTCAGCATTCGGGGACAGCTCGGGGTCCTCCCTGACTGGCTGGGCCCCGATCCCCGCGGCCCTGCCGGTTTCTCCTCTGCCGTCGGGTCCCGCGGACGGGGGCTCGGGACGCCCCGGGGGGGCCGACTCCTGGGTTCTTCCTGGGGCTTCAGGGGTCCCCTTCGCTGCGGGGCCGTCTTCGGCATCCTTGGCCTCTTCTCCTGGGATCGGTGCCTTCTCCGTCTCAGGACGACCCTGATTCCTTCCTTCCGATCCCGGGAACCGTGTTTCAGACCGGGTTTCGGCATCTCTTTCCCTCGACGGTTCTTGGAGTCGCTGCCGCTGCCCGTCCTGCGAGTGGGCTTCCAGGACTGGCGCCTGGGCCACCCTGTCACGTCCTTTCTGCCCTGCTGTTGGGTGTCCTTCTTCTCCTGGGGCTCCAACATCGGGTGGTTCTGAAACAGTTCTGCCACCTTGGGCCGGTGGGTCCGTTGTTTCGCGCCCCCTTCCTTGTGCAGGGGGTTCTGGGGTCTTGGATGTTCTGCCGCAGGCCTCAGGTTCCTCGGAACCACTTGTCTCAGGGAGGCTCCCAGCAGCATCCTTTTCTGGCTCTTGGACCACAGACGTCCCACTCTCGTCCTCCGTGTCAGTTGACTTCTGTGTCTCTGGTGGGTTCCTGGCAGCAGCTGGTTCGGGCAGGTCAGCAAGCTCTTCATCTGGGTTCTTCTCTGACTTAGACACCTGTCTCGGTTCTGCACTTAGTAATGATTGCATGTCAACATAACAGAGGTTCAATAAACTGAAGATCGCAAGAACGAATTCATCAAAACTGATGGTGCCATCTTTATCACTATCCAGAAGATTCAGGTTTCTCTCCACAGCATGCATAACATGGGGCTGCATCAAAACACAGGGGGAATTCAGCTTATTCATATTTGACCGAGTCTCCAGAGTATCTTGTTTCTCTCTTAAGAATCCTTATTGGTGGGGGATATAGCTCAGTTGGTACAGTGCTTGCCTCGCATGTACAAGGCCCTGGGTTACTCCCCAGCACCCCCACCCACAAAATATATATATCCTTATTTATTTATTTATTCACCTTATTCCTCAAGAGTGACCAACACTTCCCCAAACAGTAAGAATCCAGTGGCTGTGGTTGTCACTTTTCACCAGAGAGCTATGACTAGGGAGCATTTACATCCCTTGTGAGTTTTAGTTAGATTCATCATGGTTTGTGACTCCGCTCGGAAGTCTACTTTGCTGAAGCAATAGTCCCGGTCATGAAACCCTCATTTTCTCTGTAGGACTGACTAAGCAATTGCATACGATAGGCGACTTAGACCACAAATAATTGTTCAAAAGTCAGTGAGTGCTGAGAACTGATGGCCGAATTGTAAAATGTGCAGAGATGACCTGAGCTCACCTTGCTTGGATTAGGGTGAATTGGAAAGTGGATACGAATTGTCACAGCTCTGTGAGCACCTCACCTGAAGGAAGTCCCCAAACTCGCCCTGAAGGAGCCGTTTCAACTCTCTGCAGGTCAGCCTTGCCTTGTCACCATCCTCTCTGGAATACTTGTGGAAAGTCTCGATTACGCAGAGGACACTTCTCAGGAGCCGAGGCATCTTTACAAATTCAGGAGAGACTGTGAGAAAGAACAAACAAAACCCATTTCCCAGGATATGCAGTACGCAGCAGTATTCACGTGTCCGGAGAATGTTTGATGGTAAGAAGATGGTGAAACGAGAACTCAAATATAAGTTATTGAGATGCACAGATAAAGCCAGCAGAGGGAATCAGTCTTTTGAGCCTCTCATCTGAGAATATCCACTTGCTTTCCTCCCACCTTGCCTCTGCCCAGCCTCCTCTGCTTAGGAAAGACCTTATAACTTTTAATTAGTAAAGCTTCTAGAAGAAAGGGAAATAATGCCAAGGAAATAAACTGCTGCATTTGCAGTTGGAAGCGGCACATTTTTAAACAAGAAGACACAGTTCCATGTGAACTCACTGGTAAAACAGAGTCTTGCTCTATTTAGTCTACATTTTCATTTTAATATAGATCTGAGTCCTGAGTCTTACTAAGTAACATTCACACCCATGTCATCCAAACAGTTAATATTTTGTAAAAAAGAAAATGATCAAAGAGGTTCCGTAAGCACGGAATACATTTTAGATAGCAGGACTCCCCGTTTAATATTATCAGTAGAGGTTAGCTTACGGTATTAATACAATCTCACATATAAGCAAAGCTTCCCCCGAGGTTCCTAATGCTCTAGCAAATGTCTGAGGCTTACCCGGTTCAGGAGTGAGAGCAAGCGGAACGGAAGGCAGCGGGCTCTGGCTGGCAGCAGAGCAGAGACCTTTTATTGCGTCTCTAATTGCACAGCTAGGAGGGAGACACCCTCTGGGTCTAATGACCTGATTCATCTCCACCAAACCCGGTCTCCCCTCCTTCTCTGCCCTCAGCTTGTCTTATTTTTATTTCCTTCTTTCGGTCTTAATTTCAGACTCATGCAAAGCCACGGGGAAGGGGTTTCTTTTTTATTTATGGACTTTTGCAGGTTATTTTGAGGGATAGTGTTTTTTCTTTCTTTCTTTTTTTTTTAACCTGAGGACACAATTACGTTTCTGTTTGACAAATCATAGGGCTCAGAAGTCATCTGATTCCTCTCTCTGAATGCCGGATGGCCTGTATTTGACCTAACCCTGAGAGATTAATGTCCATCATGTGTTTAAAAATAAAGGCTCTATTTAGTCATGTGACAAAAGTGGAGATACCAGTTGATTCAGCTGTTTTAATGCTTTGTTCTTCTTGCCCAGAGGCAGTTAGGAGAATAAAAAAATCTCTTGCTGGGTGTGCAGAACCTTACTTACCCAAGATGTGCTATTTTAAGAATGTGATTGACATCTACCTTTAAAAGATATTTTTGTAATTCAGGGAACTTAGAAATTACCATCCATATCACCATGTTCTCTTTGTGATGAGAAAAGGGGTACATGAGGCTAAAGTGAGGACCGAAATGAGTCTGAGATGCTAAATGGGAAAATGTTTTTATTACCTCATAGGCTTGGTCCCTCGTAGTAAAGAATATTTCATTAACAGGAGAATTAGATTTCGTTGTTTTCTTAGATGTTCAAAATGAGAGTAGAGTATGTTTTATATCTTTGTCTCCTTTTCAACGGACCTAAGATATAGAAACAAAGCCATCGGAACAAGTGTAAAAGACAAAGAGCAAGTTAACCAAGGGATGGAGATGGGGGTAATTAATGAGAAACCAAGACTAAAGGCTGCATTGCTATTGAACAAAAACCTTTTTCTGAGTTTCCTGATCTGAAGACAAGTACAGGGCGATTGGACTTTGGGGAGAAATTCATTCTGAGAGTTTATATCTAAGAACAATTTCTCAGCATCACCCCCAAAGGGAGGTGACTTCTTCTGAGAATTGGGATTGGCCCATGAATGTCACCTTAATTCTGATTAGTTAATATTCCCTGAGTACCAAGTATTTCTCAAATACCATGGCAGGCATTAAGGTATTTAAATTTCAATAAATATGTCTCCCTGCCCTGGAGCTCACTGGGCCAGTATCATGACAAGAGGTTAAAGGAAACTGATATGTTCAGGCTGAATTGGAAAGAAATAACAAGGGAAGACATAAATAACTGTCTTCAAGGATCTGCAGGGCTTTCAAGGGTGTGGGAGAGAAAGGAATTAATGTTCATTGAACACTCATGACATGTCAGGTGCTTTACACAGGCTGTCTTAATCCCCACAGCCTGTATAGGTAGTTATTATTCTCTTTTAGCAGATAAGGAAGTTAAGACTCTTAGATGTTGAGCAAGTTGCCTGTGGACATGTATCTAGTAAATGGCAGAGCCAGGATTCAGAATTCAAACGTCTAAGCATATGTTTCTGAGCCCATGGTCTTTCCGTGAAGTTGAGTTCTTTATTCTGTGCAATGCCAGAGAATATAGGCATAATCAATGGCTGAAACTCTCTAGAAAGTAGACTCTAGTTCTTAGAACTCGTAATGAGTAGAGTGGTCTGATAATGATTTATGCTGCTCATAAAACAATGGGATCTCTGTCACCAGAACTGTTCCTGTAGAGGCTGAACCATTCCCTGTTGGCTAGTTATGGGACAAATCCTGCCACGGGAAGAGAGGAGACAAGAGTGGCTCACAGTGAGGAGCACAGAATTCTTCCAACTTTAAATGTTGGTGGTTTTACATTATAGTTCCTTTTTCAAAAGTCAAAGTAGGATCTTGTCTTGTTTCTCAATGATATAAATGCTCCCAAGCCCTTTCACAAGGACTCCTACTTTTTCAGTGGTTACTCAAGATCATTTAATTAATACTCATGTTCTGGGTGAGTGGTGACTCAGAGGGAACAACAGGAGGAGGAGGCTGCTCTCTATCTGGTGTTTTAAAAAAAGTAGACTGCAGTACAATAAGACCCCGATTGCCCATTCTACAAAATGAGGTGTGGGGGGGAATGTGATTAATAGAAAACCATCTTTATGGTCACACTGAAGTCTTGAATGGCAAATCTGACCATCACAACCTGGAGATGTGCTGGACACAGAATTGATAGGAATGACAGAGGTGAATGAGAAGTGGGGCTGTCAACGGGAACAGAGACTGAATTTTGTATAAGTGACATGTTTCTGTGGTCATTTCCTTCTTCCTCTTCCACTTTAGAGCACAGAGCCTAACCTTCCTAGCCAAATCCCCAAATTTCTTCTCTAAAGAAATTTAGCAACCTTTTGTGCTGGGGACATAGCTCAGTTGGTAGAGTGTTTGCCTCTCATGCACAAGGCCCTGGGTTCAATCCCTAGCACCACAAAAAAAAAAAAAAAAAAGAAAAGAAAGAAATTTAACAATCTAGAAATGCTAAATGTAAGCTTCTTGAGGGCAGGGCACTGTGTCCAGTTAGGAGAGAACCTGGACTATAGTAGGAACTCTATCAATATCTGTTGGCCTATAGAGTGAGAGCTAAGGCCTCTAACCCAGACATTGGTTCTCGAGGAAAACCTACTCCATTATGGTATTTGGGGGTCTGGGGGTCTGCAGCCTGTCAGCCATTTACTCACAAATCCACAGAATTCTCAACTCTTCCACAATTTTCCTTCTTAGTGTGAAAGCAAACCTATTTATGTAAACCAAGAGAATCTCAGATCTTTTCATTGGTATAAATGGGCAACCAAGAATACTTATGCGTATAATTCAGTTGCATTAAAGATTAGTAGAAAAACTGGTCACAGAAAAACAGATATAATTCAGAAAATAGAAGATGAAGGTGTCTGTATTTTTAATTTTTTGAGGAACCATCCTACTGTCTTCCACATGACCATACTAATTCACATTCCCATCAACAGTGTTCAGAGGTTCCCTTTATTCCAGATCCTCACTTTTTATCTCTTTGATAATAGACATTCTAACAGGTATGAGGTGATGATTGTGGTTTTAGTTTGTGTTTTCCTGGTGATTAGTGATATTGAACATTTTTCATATACCTGTTGGCTATTTGTATGTCTTCTTTTGAGAAATGACTATTCAGGTCCTTTGTCTATATTTATTTATTTATTTTTGTGGTTCTGGAGATAGAATCTGGGGCCTCATTTATGCTCTACCACTGGGCTACACGCCTACCCTCTTTGCTTCTTGTAAATTGGTTTTGTTCTTTTGTGGTTTTTGTTTGTTTGTTTTGCTATTGAGTTGCCTGAGTTCCTTACATATTTTGAATATTAACTCTTAGCCTTCAACTTCATGGTATTTGTTCTAAGGAAATGTAATTACTGTGTCAAAGAGGTATCCGGTTCCCATGTCCCACTGAAGCATTATTCTCAATAGCTGTCGTACAGAAACAACATAGGTGTTCATCGGAGACTGAATAAAGAAAATGTGGTATATTTACCCAACGGGATACCATTGGCTTTAAAGGAAATAAATCCCATCATTTGGACAACATGGATGAACCCAGGGGACATTATGTTAAGTGAAACAAGCTGGCCACAAATACTAAATGATTTCACTTATACTTGGAATCTAAAAAAGTCAACATCATAGAAGCAGAACTCTGAAAAATAGTTCAGAGTTCCAGCTCCAAACTCTAGTAATTATCTGACCTTAGACAAATTTCTAAACTGTACTGAGTTCATTTCCTTATCTACTGGTTACCAGAGGCTGAGTGGGGAGAGAAAATAGGGAGATTTCAAAGGGTACAAGGTTTCAGTTAGACAAGAGGAATATTTTTGGAGACCCATTACACAGTATTGGAGACTATAGTTAATAATAATGTATTATATACTTGAATATTGCTAAGAGAAGAGATTTTAAATATTCTCAACACAAAAAGATCAGCATGTGTTTACTAGCTTGATTTACTCCTTCCACAATTTATACAAAGCATCACATCATATTCCATAAATAAACACAACTAATATTTGTCAATTAAAAAGTAAATTAAAAATAACTCTAACTGATATAATCAAATAAATTAAATGAGACAAGGCCAAGATGCTTGTCTGGGGCGATTGGAGAACTAAAATGTGGTTCTAGATTAAAAGTAATTTAATAAATAAAAAAATTAATAATAAAACCCCTAATGTCGACAAAATCTCCTAAAAGTAGTATTAGCCAATAGAACTATATGTATCTATCAAGTACTTGAAATGTGACTCGTGTGACTGAGGAACTAAATTTTAAATTTTACTTAGTTTTTATTAATGTCAATCTAAGTCACCACATGTAGCTAGTGATGACCTTATTGGGCCACAGGGTTTTAGAATAGAAAGCACAAAGAGAAAGAAGTTCAAGAGGTGGGAAGAAGGATGAGAAACATATAATCAACTTAGGAGGTCCTACTTTCAATTAACAAGGACTCCAGGACAAAATAAGAAAAAAAGAGGAAGATCTATCAAAGAATTCATGAAGATTTCCTAAAGGGCTTCTGATTTTTAAAGGCCCACGAAGTGTTCACCTAGATACTTGGAAATCTTAGAACATCAAAGGCAAGGAAAAGAAGGGTCAAATATCTTGCTTGAAGCTACAAATAATAAATGGTGAACCTTGTTTTGGCCTCAAGCAATCTTACTTTTGTGCCTATATGTTTGATACAACAAAATAAACACTTTTTTTTTTTTTGCCTCCAAGAGTCTCTCCAGGGTAAATGCATGGCATATTTGGTATGCTGGAGATGACTAAGTTGAACAATGCTATCAAAAGTCTAAAAGCATTAAAATTAAAACAACAACATCAACTTTCAGAAAGGGAGAGAAGAGAGGTAGTGTATGCTGAGAGCCACGGCCAAGTCTGTATGGCCCCTGGCATTTTGCCAACAGTATTGATTGACAGGCGAGGCATTACTACCCGCCTCTGCCGCAACTTTTGAGTTCTCGCACTACTTTGGAGTTCTTGTGGGGATTTCCGGGGATTCCTGGAGAGTTCCCATTGGTTGGGGAAGTGCAGGAGGAGGGATTTTCCGGGAGAGATATTTCTGGCTGGGGGTTCCTGGACAAGCAGCGTGGCATTCGGGAGGATTCCCCGGGAGCTGTGTGAAGTGTTTTCCTGCAGTTCAAAACTAAAGTTTGTTCCTGCTTCAGTGGCTCGTGATTTGTGCCCAGCCAGACTGCGGCATTTGGTGGCCTGTACGGGGAACGTCTGAAGCTTCGGGGTAAGTGAAATTGCTTGCCCCTAAGGGAAGGCGAGAGAATGGGTGACCATTTTAAAAAACAATGTGTTCTTGTTTTGATTTGTTTTGTGTTTGTTTCAAACTGCCTATCCCTAGAATTTTCTCAGGCAGATTGGGAAAAATGGTTGGCTCAAGGTTTGAAGTTGTTCGCCCCTGAGGAAGAGATAGAAATAGACCACAAATGCACATGTCAAGAAAATAGGAAAATTGATACAACGATTTTTTGTTCCTTTTTTGTTTCATTCTGTTTCGGTTTTGTTTTGTGTTATCTTATTGGGTTGCGTTATCTTTATAACAGATTAGAAATTAATAAAAAACAAACTGAAAGAGTGTTAAGTAAATCGTTAGAGGTTCAGACCATGGAGAAAGACATTTTAGATCAAGCAAAAGAGAAGGTCTCTCAAGCTAGTCAGACAGAGGAAGAAAATTTAAAGGAAGAAAGCTTAGAGGAGAAACAGCTATTAGGGAAAAAGCTACAACAGGAGGCTACTACTAACACTGTTCTATCACCAGAGGGCGTAATTCAACCAACAGCTCCACCTATGGAGATAGCTGAGTGGCCCTCAACCCCCGTAGTTGATAGATGGGATCCTGAGACAGGACCTCAAAGATTAGCATGCCCTGTACTTGAGCAGGCAGGAGGGCAGCGAATTCACCGTGCTTTAGATTTCAAAACAGTGAAGCAGTTAAAGGAGGCTGTAACAACCTATGGTCCTCAAGCACTGTTCACTGTAAGCATGGTTGAATCCATTACCAACTTGGACATGACGCCAGCAGATTGGGCTAGTATGTGTAAATCTGTGCTAAATGGAGGACAATATTTGTTATGGAAGGTTGCCAATGAGGAATTTTGCAGGGAGACAGCTAGGCGAAATGCAGCAGCTGGTTACCCTCAAAGAAATCTAGATATGTTGTTAGGAAAAGGACCTTATGAGGGTCAACGGCAACAAATTGAATATGATCCTGGCGTATACGCACAGATTGCTGTAGATGTGGTTAGGGCATGGAAAACTTTACAGGGGCATGGAGATTTACAAGGTCAATTATCTAAGGTAATACAAGGAACTAATGAACCTTACGATGAATTTGTAGATAGGCTTATTCAAGCAGCTTCCAGAATTTTTGGGGATACAGAACAAGCAATGACATTTATAAAACAACTGGCTTATGACCAAGCAAATCGTTGCTGCAGAGAGGTCATTAGACCATGGAGACATGAAGATTTAAACACATATATTAAATTATGTAGAGACATTAATGAACAAGGACAAGTCTTGGCAGCAGTACAACAGGTTTTAGATGCCAGGCCAAAAACATGCTACAATTGTGAACAAACAGGACATTTTAAAAGGAGTTGCCCCATAGGAGGAGGGTTTAACAAAGCTAGGTATCAAAGGAATAGAATACCGGGTATTTGCCCACGATGCCGTAGAGGGAGACATTGGGCTAGTGAATGCCGTTCTCAAACCACCATAGAGGGTACTCTGTTATCAAAAAATGGACAAGGACCAGGTGTTTACCCACGATATCATGGAGAAAGGAATCGGGCTCCATTGCCAAAAAACGGACAGGGGGGCCCAATGCTCCGGGGCCCACGACCACAAATGTACGGGGCACTGGAGGAACCCAGAAACACCATGGAGGAACCCAGCAACACCATCAGGGTAGTGCCCAGGACACATTATCCATCAGATCTCTCATCAGACGAACCAGAGGGAGCGCAGGGTTGGACATCTGTGCCTCCGCCAGAGCAGTACTAACTCCAGAGATGGGAGTTCAAATCATTCCCACAGGAGTAAAAGGACCTCTTCCCCAAGGAACAGTAGGCTTATTGTTAGGACACAGTTCTTCTACGCTAAAAGGACTTATGATAAGTCCCGGGGTAATTGATCCCGATTATGAAGGTGAAATAATATACCCTTCTCCAAAGGGTATAACAGTAATTTCACCAGGAGATAGAATAGCACAGTTATTAATAATACCCAGCCTACATGATAAATTTTCCAGTAGTAGTATAGAAAGAGGTTCCAGGGGATTAGGATCCACAGGTGTAGATTGGGCTATGCTGTCTTTGAATTTAGATTCTCGCCCAATGCTAAAACTAAATATTCAAGGAAATGAATTTAATGGGCTACTGGATACAGGTGCAGACCTTA